TTTTAGCTAACTGCTTTGTAGAAATTTACAAAAACCAAATTTAGATTTGATTCAGGTTATTGATTTGGCGGAAAATATATATGAACAGGTAGATACAATAAGAATGAATGTAGATACATATTTTCATAATATTTATCTAAACGTTGAATCAAAGACTAAATTTTATGATATAACACTAATTAAACCTCGTCTAGCCCCTAGGCCATTATTGAGATATAAAATAAATATTGGCTCAACTGAAGAATATTATAAAATATCCATTTTCATCCCATTCTTATATACTTTTTTATCCCAAATAAAAGTACGGTTAGATAAAAAAAACAAGTCTTTAGCAATCTTCAAGTTTTATTACCCAAAGATCCTTCTTCGTTTTCTAATGCCACTATTGGTAAAATTAAATATTTAGCAAAATTTTATTCCTATGAGATTGATACTGAAATAAATTTAATCAGTGAATTCGAATTGGGTATAAATATTTACTACGTTTAGCTATTTTACCTGAGCATGCTATTGATGCGCTCAATCGGTGTAACGAAACCTTGGCTCAATTTCCTAATATTTTGAAGTTGTTTTATATTCTTGCATGTTTGCCTATAGTATTTTAAATAAAAAAATTATATTCTACTTATATTGTATAAGAATTTAAGCTGAGGCTAGTTTTTAAAGCAAATTTTATAAAAAAATGACATTATAACTTTATTTCAACTTTACATTTAAAAAAAACTTTATTAAATATAATATATCCAACTTGAAATAATAAAAAATTTACTCGTAATATCCATAAGCACGAATTAGTAAATAATAGTTAAAAATAGAAATATAATTATTATTAAATTATTCATAATTTAATAGAATAGCTAAAATATAAGACCCGGCCGAATGCCGGGGGAAAGCTGGCCGAATTCCAGGTAAATGGGGTATGGGGGCGAAGCCCGCAAAAAATCCCCCCCCCCCTATTGTTAAGGAACCACTAAATTCCGAGTTGAATTTATGTTCAAATGAGAATTCTCATGAAACTGATGTTTCAAATGAGATTAATATTGATCAGTCAATTAAAACATATGATATTTTAATGACTGAGAGATTAGTCGAACCTCGTCCTTGTCCAAGAGTTATCGTAAGAGTTGACTCGAGGGATATTGACATGTTGTTCGACACAGGGGCTAGCATTTCTATAATGTCTCGAAGAAATTATTTTAAGTATTGGCCTAAAGGTAAGTTCGAGAAAGAATCTATGTGTGTCAGACAATTTGATGGGTCTGAGATAATAGTTTTGGGAAAAACTAAATTGGGTGTAATTCTTCATGATACCACATTTTTCCTAGATTTATGGGTAGTAAAGAAAGATGTGGAAACCATCATGGGGTGGGATTGGATTGTTCAGTTAGGTCCTTTCAGTAATTATTGGAATATTTTTGCCCTACATAATGGTTCGGCCATAATTAACCAGAAAGACCAAAATATTGCTTATAACGCTCGAAAAAATATCCGTGAAATAGAAGGGAAGGATTTAACCATAAAACAAAATGATTCAACCCGTAATTCTGATAGGTATGTAAAGTCCACGGAATTAATGGTTGAAAACAACATTAGCATTGATAAAACCCCAGTGGTTGCTATTGGTATTCCTGAATTACATAAAATGAGTGAAAATATATCTCGTTTATTGAAGAAGTATGAAATAATTTTCGAAGACAAATTAGGTTGTCTTAATGATTATCAAGTAGATATAAAATTAAGGGAAGGATTTGCACCTATTTTCCTAGCGTGTCGTCGAGTCCCTTTTGAATGGAAAAAGGAAATTGACGAAGAATTGGATCAATGGGTTAAAGATGGTATCATTGTTCCAGTGGAATATAGTGTATGGGCAACCCCGTTGGTACCGGTTAAGAAATCAAATGGTAAATTGAGACTATGTGCTGATTTCAGAGTAACCGTTAATCGATGGGTAGTAGAGGTTAAATATCCTTTACCCCGAATTGAGGAAATTTTGGCCCAGTTGAAGGGAGCGAAATATTTTTCAAAGGTTGATTTTTCGTCAGCCTATTTACAATTACCTTTGAGGGAGGAGATTCGTAAATTATTGACGATCACGACTCCCAAAGGGTTGTTCGCTTTTTGTAGATTACCATTTGGATTGAGTGTGTCAGCGCCTATTTTTCAGCGCACCATGGCGTCCGTTTTCCAAGGACTAGAGGGTGTATTTTATTACATGGATGATGTGCTAATTACAGGGATAACGCCTGAGCAGCATAACCATCGTCTGGAGGAAATTTTTAAAAGAATTCAGGGTAAAGGCTTGAGAGCCAGCAAAGAGAAAAGCATTTTGGGTGTAATGGAGGGGGCCGTAATTCCTTATAAATTACGGAGTAAAATTATGAAATTATTACACGCCGGTCATCAAGGTCGAGACAAGATGAAGTCTTGGGCTCGAGAATATGTATGGTGGCCTGGTATGGGCAAGAATATTGAACGGATTACCAGGAAATGCGTTCCTTGTAATGCCTGTGCTCCTATGCCCCGTAAAGAGGTAGGGCAATTTTGGCCTAAGACTTCATCTTGTCTCGACCTTGATGACCGGCGTGTAATAATTTCATAATTTTACTCCGTAATTTATAAGGAATTACGGCCCAGGTGTTTCTATATTTTTAATCATAAATTTTTTTTTTTAAAAAATAAGTTAAAGTAAATTAATTTTATATAAAAATTTTAATTTTGTGACTCAACACAAAACTGTTTAAAATCTTCACTGACAAAGGCGGGACCCCCGTCAGACAGTATCTTGTCCGGAAAACCGAACCGAGCATATAATTCTCTTAATTTTTTAACAACAATTTTTGTGGTATATCCATGTACTTCTGCATATTCTATCCATTTAGAATACGAGTCCACCACTAAAAAATATGTTTTTTTATCCAGATCAAAGAAATCGATGTGGATACGTTCCCAAGGTTTCTTTGATTTAGGCCAAAATTGCCCTACCTCTTTACGGGGCATAGGAGCACAGGCATTACAAGGAACGCATTTCCTGGTAATCCGTTCAATATCCTTGCCCATACCAGGCCACCTATAAGAAAATCCTGGATACGCCACTGCGCCTAAGTTTAAGTTAAATGAATATGTGATTTGACAGATTAAACTGAAAGGAAATAATATACTCTTAAATACAACTTCTTACGAATACAGTGTCTCAATTTTCAAAATATCTTCTTAAATTAAATTATAAAAATGGTCCAGGTTAAGCTAAATTAAATTATATGGCATCACAACATAACGTGTTAAGAAATATTTTCCTAAATTTTGATATAATTTATTGCCTAACATTATAGTGCATATATAATTTTAATATGGTTGACTTATAATTCATCAATATTATATAGCTTCTATTCTAAGTTATTTGAGGCTTCTATATATTTTTAGATGAAAAATAAAATAAAATTAGAGACGCTATTTATCGAATAAAATATAAACAAAAAATAAATTATGTATTAATAGCGATAATTGGCGTCATAATTTTTGCGCATTATGTATTTTTAGATTTTTTTTAGTACATATAAAATTTTATTCCCAATTAAATTAAACTGATAACAACTATATCCATATAATAACTAGTATTTTGATAAATAAGTTTTTTTAAACAAAATATAATTAATTTTTTTAGGTGCTGATAATAGTTTCTGCTCTTTATGGAAATTCATTTTATGAAGAGAGAAATAAAAAATTTAAAAAAGTATTGGCCTATCTTGTAAAACTGAGATAATAATAAACACCCAATCTTATTTTGGCTGACCATATATATTGTAAATTGAAACTTAAACAATGGGATGTGATGACCTCGATTTCAAGTCAATAAAAATAATTAATTATAATTGACACTCTATCTATATAGTATAAACAAATAAATATAATTAAAGGTTTTAAATTTCGTAACATTTTGTATCAATTGAATAGTGTATAATAATATAATATATTATATAAAGTTTATTGAAAAACTGACAGATGCCCTTAAAATTAATTAATCATTGATAAGGTATAAATATCAACCTATATTTGATTGTATTATAGTGATACTTATAAGTTTTAAACTAAAATTTCTTATGTCGCGTGGCAGTCTAAATTAACATCGTAGTTCAAAGTTATAAGATTTTAATAAAAAGTTAAATATTTTAGATTTTGAAATCGAAAAAAAAACATCTAAAGATTGCATATATCAAATCATTTATTTTATCTATACTATATAGAAAAAAAATTTTATTCTTCAACGGTCACCGTACCTTATAGTTCCAATATCTTATAGTGAAAAAATCAATATATTCTTAAATTTTATATATAATTAAAATGATAAAATTTAAAATAGATATTATGACTTTTCTTTGTGTAACTCAAAATTTAGATATAAATTGAGTTATACATTTATAGAAATGTTGATCTTGTTATATCAACATCATAAATTTATCTCTAAAACTTCAAATCGATCATTGATAAAAAACTTAAGTAGAATTTATACTATAATCAAGCTACGAATAATATTTCATTATTTTTTTTCGAAGGCATCATACTTATTATGTTGGACATCATTTAATATTTTTAATATTTGATGATCAAATACCATTATTTTTTATAATTATTTATTTTTAATACTGATTATAAAATATTATTATTAATTTTAATAATATAAAATTCCTAGCCCTTTAAATTTAATTATAAAAATAATGGATATAAATATTATAATATATACTTTAATTTTTTTTTAATTTAGCGAATATTTACATCAAATCAAGATTTTCGATTTTATAAATTTGTGTAAAAAAAAATTAAAGACAAAATCATTTTATGACTAAAACTCAACTTCAAAATATTAATTAACAGAATCTATCCACCCACTCTAACATTTTTAATAATTCTTATATGGATCGATATTCGTATTATTCTCCTTTTCCATTTGTTCCTTTTTTTGACTTAAAAATGTGATTTTACAAATTTTTTTTATTTAATCGATAATATTATGAAAAATTTTTTTTTAAAAATGGCGATTTCATAAAAAGATTATCTATAAGGGAAGTTAAAATTTAAAAATTTTATATATATCCATAAAATTAACTGAAGAAAACAAAAACCTAATTTTTCTACAAAGAAAAAGTGGAGCCAAGGCTCGGATTAAATTCGGTTAGGAAGGACAAGAGAAAAAATGGTAAATAATATAATTTTATGACAAAAACCATTTAAAAAAAAATTTAAGTCCCTAGAAAATTGAAAAGGCACTCCAAAGCTTACGAATCCGTAGAAAAACTGGATGACATGTGTCTAGAAGATGGATTTGATAGTTGGAATCTTAACTTCAAAAAAAGACACTCTAAAACTTTGGAAAATCTTCTTGATGACCCTATAGAAGTATCGGAAAAGGAGACCAACTTTTTAAATGAAATGCAAACTCCGAAATCCCTCAAAGACGATGATGCGAGTAATGAGAGGCTTCCATCAAACAAAAAAAATGACGATTACATGGTAGCATTAGATATGAAAATAAATATGTTGTTTTGCGACAAAAGACGTAAAAATATTCGAGGCATCAAATCTTATACAACTAAATTTTTTATCGATTTATTGCGCGACTCAAAATATCTTGAAATGCTATATAGGCCCAAAAGTTTTTCAATAAAAACCGACATACAGTATTGGGTAGAAACGATGATAAACAAAATTGAACATTTAAACTTTAATATTCCTCAATCTTCTGCTATCATTATCCAAAAGTTAAGGGAATCATATATGAATTTTAAGTGTGAAATTTGCGGTAAAAATTACGCTAGTTCTTCCAATTTATCCCGTCACAAAAAGATCCATCGAATGTTGGTGTTATATCATCACGATGAATTTCAAAATAATCCTCCAGCTCTTGGTAGTACGTTATTTCTGAGATGTTCATTGTGCGATAAAAATTACAACAATCAACCGGCTCTTGCCATGCATTTACTCACACACGACAAGGAGAACAAAAGGCACCAATGCACTATGTGTAATAAAGCTTTCAGTAGACTTTGGCTGCTCAAAGGTCATATGCGGAGTCACACCGGAGAAAAGCCTTATCCTTGCTTGAAATGCTCGAAATCATTTGCAGATAGATCCAATCTCAGAGCCCATTTACAAACTCATTATTCGGTCAAACAGTTCGAATGTCATATGTGTAGTAAAAGTTTTGCGCTTAAATCATACCTTCACAAACACAAGGAGATTTGTTACAAGAAACCGTAATTTTTTTAAATATTTTTTTTTTTACTAGGAACTTGGTGCAATCAATTTAAAAATAAGTATCTTATATTTTAACCATCGCTGGATAATTATAATATTAATGTAATATAATACTTATTTTTAAAAAACCTATTTATTTTACCAATATGGCTAGAATTATACCAAAGATTGAAATAATTGTAATATATTATATAATATTATACTATAATATCGCTATCATATAAAATTGTCATTTAAAAAAAACATTTTTGTAATTATTATATTGATTTTTGCATCGTTGTCATGTCTCGTTCCGTTTAAAAATTTTTTTTTTGACCACAAGAATACTGAGGAATAATAATGGGCCGAAAAGTGCAATATACCAAAATAATTTATATATTTTATAAAATTGTAAAAAATTTCGCTGTAATATATTTAATATTTATTTTTTGTTAAAAGTAACTTTATATATCCAATTGGAGGGCTTAAATCTCAGCTCATTTACTATTATATACTTAATTAATATATGTGATTTGGCTATATTTTTTATAATGATTTAAAAATAACTATATTCTAATATTTTGGCTACACTATTAACATTATAATCTGTTATATGAATTTATGTGAAAGTTTTTTTTAAAAAAAATGTATATTAAATTTTTAGTGACATTATTAAATAATAAAAAAAATGACCCCGATTTTTATTAATAAAAATTTTATAAAGCGTTAAAAAATGGCAGATGTTTGATTAGCTCATATGATATTTAAAGCAAGAATATTATGTAACACGTCAATATTTATTGCGATTTTTATAGGTTAGGTGTTTGTATCCTCTTAAAAACTAAAGAGAAACATATCAATAATGATGAATTAGAATCAAACCGAATCGTATTTGGATTTGCACAAATAATATTAAAGTCTAATATATGCTGCATTACTTGCATGTGAGTTCTTATTAAAAAATTTCTAATTGTTTTACTATTTTATTTATTTTATACAAATAACGAATTTAAAGAAATGATTGGCTCAAAAATCTTAATTTTGACAAATCGCTAGCTCATTATTATTTATGCGGTGTTGAATTTAAAATTTTGAACATGTAATCAAAAGTTTTGCTCAAATCTTAGGTTAGGCGTGTTGAAAATAGTTGTGTTTCAATTTAATTATGATTATTTTATTTTAAACAATAGGTTATAATACATGATTTTTTCAATATTACATGGCTTAAAAAAAATATTTGTATTAATTGGTTTCTAACATTATAAGTAGGTTATATTATATAACTCTTTTGTATAATATTTTAATTATGAAATAAATTAAGCCTTTTAATAAAATAAATGTAAAAATTATCTTAAAAATTTCAATATCAAAATCGTTTAATAATATTGATATAAATAATTAATATTTTACCTTTAGTACATTATGCAAAAGAGAATATAAATTCGAGTGAAGATATTTTATAAATAAGATTATTACAAATATAATTTATATACGAGATGCATTTTATAATAGAGAGTATAAATAAATATATAATATTCAAATATTTAACGGTTAACGCCGTTAATTTTCATTGGAAAGTTTTAAAAAAATAGTTGGTTAAATTATCATTACACCTGCTTGTTAAAATGACTATTTTAGTCCCATTTTCATTAAGATTATTTTTTGAGAATATAGTGAGTTGACAAAATATTTTCTTAGTATTTATAAAGTTATATACTTTTTGTCGCGAGAATTAAATGGTTTCTAGAAACAAAATTCCCAAAATAATAGCTAAAATAATGATTAGGTAAATTTATAGAAACATATTCACGATTAACATATTAGAAATTAGTTTTATCAAAACACTGAAGTAACCAAGAGGGGGGGGGGTGTTCCGCTACTTAATAAATTTACTATATTTGTAGTTATACTTTAGATTACGATAGGAATAGATCGGGGGAAAATGGGAGGGCAAGGGGAAATTCTCCCCATTTCCTTTTTTTAAAATTCCTATATTTTTATATATCAATTTCACCTATAATTATTATTCAATTCAAATACAGTGAGATTCTAAATTAATTTTATTTAATGTTTATTCGATAATAAAAATTAATTTTTGAAAAAGGTAAAATCATAGTCTACGTTTTCCTTTCCGGTACGACGAGGATTATTTTTTCTGTTATAGTTTAAAGTTTATTTATATCTAAATAAATAAAATATACTTAAAATTTTTCATAAATATTTCAAATAAGTGATATCATATGGATACCACCTCTACCAGCCATAATTATTTTATAAAAATATATAAAGGTATAATTATAGTTTTAAAATTTTACGATAAGAAAATATTTACCCCGGAATACGTATCACGTCAATACCGCGAAACTTTTACCGCGAAATGTATTATCGCGAATGCATTATCGCGAATGCATTATCGCGAATGTCGATTACCGCGAAAAGATATTATAGCGAATGCATTACCGCGAATGCATTATAGCGAATGTATCATAGCGAATATATTAGCGCGAATGCATTACCGCGAAAATATTATAGCGAACGCATTACAGCGAATGCAATACCGCGAATGCATTATCGCGAATGCATCATAGCGAATGTTTTATAGCGAATATATTAGCGCGAATGCATTATAGCGAATGCATTACAGCGAATGTAATACCGCGAATGCATTATCGCGAATGCATTATCGCGAATGCATCATAGCGAATGTATTATAGCGAATATATTAGCGCGAAGCGAATGCATTACCGCGAAAACATTATAGCGAATGCATTACAGCAAATGTATTATCGCGAATGTATCATAGCGAATGTATTAGAGCGAATACATTACAGCGAATGCATTATCGCGAATGCATCATAGCGAATGCAATATCGCGAATGCATTACAACTAACATTATCACAATGCAATAGTGATTTATATTTGACAAAATTATATTTAACCCATTTATTAAGTTCCAAAAAACCAGAGAACCAGCTTAATTGTCTATATTTATTTAAAGTAGCGTTTTAAAATTATTTACCTCTAAAACACGTCACTTGTTATTTATGAAATTCGTATTTTATTAAAAAATATGTGGAATTTGGTATGCTCAATTTTTTTAACGATTAGATTAAGTCGTTTTTTACAAAAGACCCTATTAATAAATATTTTAATATTTTATATTTTAAGATTGATTCTAGTAAAAGTTAATTTTTGCCCCAACAAGCCCCAAACCCCAGGCTTGTAGATTATATTGGTTTATTAAGTCTCCTATAGGATAATTATTATTATCAATAATACACTATTTGTATATAAATAATTCATAAAAAATTTCAAAATGTGATATTTTATTTTAAAAAATGTTTAAGTTTTAATGAATTTTTTAATTTTTTTCCAATTCTTTTAATTATCAACCACCAGAAAAGGTGAAAGTTAAAGGCAAAAAAGTAATAGCCAATGATTACTTATTATATCATATTCTTAAGCATAATATAATTAATTCGGCCTAATTCTACTAGCCCCTAGTTACTGATATGTTTAACCCTTTCCAGCGCTAAAAAAATATGTTTATAATTTTTAAAATTTTTTAAATAAGATTAGATGAAGGGGAACATTGGACTAAAGCTAAAAAATTTCTGATGCCCATAATTAGGGGAGACCGGTGTTATAATGAACCCAGGGTTATAGTGAGAGTGGCTTTATGAGTATTAAACTCTAAGAGATAATTTTTTACCAAAACTATATACTTATATATTGCAGGCTATAATTTTTATTTCTATCGGACCGCTTGAAGAATTTTTATAATGCTTTATATCATTCGTACCTTCAAAAGTAACTTTTTACACTTTTACTATTTTTCAAAAATAAAGATTAATATAGAATTTTACCACACAAAAATCATCTTATATAAAAGAAAAAATCCTATTTTATAGAATAACAATTTACCCGAACAAAATTGATAATATAAATACTTCAAAATATGATCTTAATCAAAGTGGTGCTACTGGGGCTATTTTTATGGGGTTAGGTCGAACCTTTTTTTTTTGCTATTTTTTAAAAATTTGACATGCATAAAAAGCCAAGGAGAGACCAACTAAAAGAAAAAAAATCGAAAAATGTTATTATATGATAAATAATTGTTTGGTATACAAATAAATTATATCAAGCATAACAATCAAGACTGCTTTCAATGTCAGTTATTAGTTACATGGCTTTGCAATTTTATTGTTTTTTTATTTGCAAAGATTGTGAATGTTTTAAATGATTTTATATAACACTTTTATGTTTTAAATCATTAAATATATCCTAAAAAAATATATAACTTTTATATATGGAAAATTAAGCAGAGTTTATAATAGCCTCGACCAAGGGCTTGTTCGTCCCCGTGTAGGGTTCACTCGGTTAGCAAAAAAAATTCCAGGAAAAATGATATTTTGAAAAAATTATTAGAGATGTATTTTTGAAATTTAAACATATCATAAAACTAATAGAGCTGAACAAAATGAGATATTTTTTATTAAAAATGATAAAGTACTTATAATTTCCTTAAGGTTTGCCTTTAGGATTCGCCATAACCCCGTTCTCCCCTACAAGTTTTCAATAAATTAAAAAGAAAAAACTTGATGTTTAATATTTAAAATGATTAGATGAAAAAGAGAAATCTATTTTATTACTTAGAATCTTTTTTATATATTTTGAGTCAAAAAAAGATAAGCCTTAGCCTTAATTTCAATAAAAAAAATGTTTTTAGAGCCAATCCCCATTTTAACTTAATTTTCAGATTCAACTAAGTCAGTCGAAAAGTCGATAAATATAAAATTGTAACTTTCTTGAAACTCCATTCGCGATATGATAATGCATTCTCTATAATGCATTCGCTATAATGCATTCGCGATAATTCATTCGCTATAATGCATTCGCTATAATTCATTCGCTATAATGCATTCGCTATAATGCATTCGCTATAATGCATTCGCTATAATGGATTCGCTATAATGCATTCGCTATAATATATTCGCGATAATTCATTCGCTATAATACATTCGCTATAATGCATTCGCGGTAATATATTCGCGATAATGCATTCGCGATAATTCATTCGCTGTAATGTATTCGCTATAATACATTCGCGATAACATTTTCGCGGTATTACATTCGCGCTAATACATTCGCTATAATATTTTCGCTGTATTATATTCTCTATAATGCATTCGTATTATATTCGCGATAATGCATTCGCTGTAATGCATTCGCTATAATATCTTTTCGCGGTAATCGACATTCGCGATAATGCATTCGTGATAATACATTTCGCGCTAAAATTTTCGCGGTATTGACATGTAACCCCCGAAATAACATTATCTCCGCACTCCCCCATCTCAAAAATTTTAAACAAAATTTCACAACATTTAATAATCATAAAGCCTGATATCCGTGCCTTCTTTAACCGTGCGTTCAAAATGCTTTAATGTTAAAAGGTGGGAATAGAGTTGTTAAGCAGCTCGATTTAAGCCATATGGCATACTAAATATTTTAGCCAAAAAAGTAGTGCATAACCTCGAGATTTATCTAATAGATGTCCAAACCTTAGCATCCATGAAAAAATAGTCAGGTTTGCGTAATATTTTTCTAAAATAAATATTGAGTTCGCCGTTTTAAAAAATCGGCTTAAATCGAGCCATTTAACAATACCAGATGGGAACCAAAATTCTCACTTTTAAGATTTATAGTGATTTAAAGGTAGTTTATAAGAGGTGGCCCTGATCTAATGCTACTTTACTCTTATGAAATAAATATATAGTTTTAAAAATTTGTCTCTTCTCGTATTCGCTCACACATACACCCTCCCCCACCCCCTCCTCCCAAAATAATATATCATTATAAACGATCATTTGAAAGAAGTATAAGCAAAAGTTAATAATTTTTTTAAATATGACTATCAGTGGTCTGCAAATTATAAAATTATTAGAATCGGCCTTATGGGAATTTAGTTTTTGCGCAGCACGGCCCGGTCTCAATTTTTCACTAAATTTCCCGGCCCAGCCCAGTTTCATTTTTTTTACTGCTTAAACAATAAAAATTTAAAAACCTGGGATGAAGGAATGGAGATGCTATTACTTTTTATTTCTATGGATACATTCAACTAAACCAAAATTTTTTAATAGCCTTGAATACATTTACTAAGAAACCAAAATACTTCATATTCAACAAATACTCTGCACTCTTCAAACTCTACATGGAAAACAAGGAAATTTTATACAAATCCCTATATTATTAATACTAATTATCTATTCCATCAATTCCTTATAGCAAATCAAATAATATATGCCTTTTTATAAATACCCTTTAAATTTAGTGCTTGGTAAAACATATATTTATTGACCCCTTTAAAATCACAAATATTCAAACAACGAAATCTCAAATAGACTTACTCCAGCATTTCATAATATATAAATAATAAAGAGCCTATAGATGCTGCGCACTCAATAATTCATCATTCTAAATGAAGGAGGTGAAGATGAAAGCCCAAATTAATTAATAAAAATTAAAAATATTTAGAAGATTGTCGTACTCTGATTTTTACATGTTTTAAGATATTTATAATTAACATTTTTGAAAGTATTTTTAAAGAATTTATTTTTGACATTATTATTATATTTATCGTATTTTATTATGAAAAGAATGAATAAAATGATAGAAAATGATACGTTAAAACATGCCCCACAAAAGGATAAGATGTTCCTTGTGAATATTTCACAACTCAATAATTTGCAATTTTTTAAATTTAGATTTTAAAAAAATATAAGATTTTTCCTTATATCTACAGTAGATAAATATTTAAAAAATTAAAGAATGTTGAAAATTATTTTCATAAGTCTCTTCTTCTCTTTTTTATAGCCCCTTAATTTACTAAAGACAATATAACTCCAGTCTCCCATACTAAAATTTTTAGCTCATACCAATTAACCGTTATGTAATATCGTTTCTAGCACACCTGGGTTTTTATGAATCCAGTAGAGTATTGAAGGGTTAGATATTTTAGCATATTTTTACTACATATTACAATATTATTAAATTTAAAAAAATTCTTTTTTTATATTGTAAAGTAAACTTGAAATAATGACAGTTTATTTTTTAATTTAATTTTTATATTTTTGCTCTCTCTTTACAAATAAAAATAATGAAATTTCATAAATATCGAAATTTTTTTTAATAATAATCGGGGACAGTATTATCTCGGAGCAGGTATTTCCTTGTAAAATGGTTCTAAAAATTTTTGACAAAAATTTGTTAATGAAAATTTTTAAATACAAATTTAAATTTCAACACCAATTAATTTTTACCTTTTGTGCATTATAACACTTTTATTTTTGAATATATGTTATAGAACGCTATGAATTTCTCTAGGACCAAGAATCACAATATAAATTTTTTATTTGTCATTTTTTTCATATTATTTAACAATTTCATAATTTATTCTTTATTTCTCGACTCAAAACCACTGTGAAAAAAAAAATAAAAATACTATTTCTCGGATCTAACCATGGTACACTCCGCTAGACTCGCTCTTACACTCTGTTTCACAGAGAGCAAGACTCGTTGGCAGATCGCCTCAGACGACACACTAATTTTTAGGTGATCGCAACGGGAGAGAAATATGACTAAAATGAAACGCAAATTGAAATATAAAAGGAAAAATATTAAAAACGCGAAATTATCCTTTACCAAATTTCGGATTTAAATTTGACAGAAAATAAAAGTTATATACTAAATTTAACTTAAAAGACTAAAATAAGAAAATCTATAGTCCATTATTTCCTCTTTATGTGCAAATCTAGCAGCTTAGGTATTATAAATAATTTTAAAAAAATTGCTTAATAAATTAATTACTTACCTGAGCCTACATTGTTAAACATGTAGAATTGAACCGGTTTTTAAAAATGCCTAACCTGTAATCATAATCAGATAAGTAATACTACAACTAAAGATTTGCATATAGATGACATTACCTTTACCTTAACATACACCTAATAATAAATTTTTCGAACCCTGAACAGCACCCCCAAATATCTATTAAATTTTACCGGCTAATAAAAATACTGGTTGGAGAAGAAAATAAAATAACAATACAAAGTGGTGACATTTTCGAATATTTACTTTATTTCAGTGGCGCCGACTCCGCGGGGCGATGGGGTCATTAGACCCATTTATTAAAATAATCTATAAAATTGATTGACTTAATTTTCTTTGAAAAAATATATGACACTCATAAAATTTTTATGCTTTATTTGATAAATGTCTCTATTTAGCAGGTCTTGAGTCAACTTTAAAAAGGCTAAACAGAACTATTAAGCGAAAACTATTAACCGGTTTAAACTTAAAGGGTAGCTCAATTTTGAAAAAAATATACTTTTGTCACAATGCTAAGCGATTTTTTTCGGCTGTTAGGATTGAATCGATTTAACAATCCTACAGGCAAATATTAGAACGATTTTGACAAAATCTTTTAAATAATAATTTGAAATTTTTAATTCGGTAGGTTGGTCAGTGGCGTAGATAGGAATTTTCCTTAGAGGGGGTCCATATATATAAAAGCCTGGGGGGATTCGCTTCCTAAACCTCCTTATACGGGCCTTTGGCCCTTTTGCCGGCCTTCGGCCGTGTTTATCTTACAAATCATAACCATATCTTCGGTAATATATAATAAATATATTTTTTAAATGCATCAATAATATGTTATTATAATTTAGTGGATTTTTCTCAATGACTTTATAATTTAACTATCCAGAATAATTTCAAATATCCTTCCACAAACATCAAAACCAGAAAAATATAAATATTAATGGTATTTATTTGATATAAAGTCACTTTTAAGTCATTTGAATGTATAATCTAAAAAAATATTTTTGCTCTGGGAGGGGTCCAAACCCGAAAACCACCCCCGTAGCTACGCCACTGGTTGGAATCAATCTACTTTGAAATAAATAATATATTAGGATTCTTTATATCAAGTTCTTTGGTGTCCTTCTACCAGAGAGTCATTTTTTTATTGATTGATATTTAAAAAAAAATTACGTGATACGTGATAAAAGCGTTTTTGCCCTCTGGTTGTGGATACAAAAAAGCTACGCTAGGTTTTTCTCAAAATCCATCAAACTAGATATTTAATTAAGAGGGAGAAAAATGAGGAGCCCTTCAAAGTTTGTGGGCAAGCCGCACGGAATTATACACACAACAGTCCGAGAACTGTTGTTTAAGTTTAAAAGTTATAACAGAAGAGTTGGGCAAAACAAAAGCCTATACCTAAAAATTATATATAATTTAATTAAGGGTGGGTGGTGGCTGATTTTAAATTTAATTCTTTAGTGTAAGCCTTAATGATACAAATAAATTAATAGGATAGAGAAATTAAAAATAGGAATAAATAAAAAGTGGGGGACAAGAGAAAGTACATTTAAAGTTTAGAGTAAACTAATAAATAAATAAAAAGGATTTGATAATGAAAAAACTTTTTTTGGGAAAGGTAAATTTATGTAAAAAGTAAATAAAAAGAGTAAACGTCAGCGTCTACATGACAGGATTTTCACTGAATGCAAACCCCCTTCAAAAACCTTTGCCTACCCTCCTAAAAAATCGCTGCCTTCGACGGCGGTGTCTCTTTATCATTATTTTCACTTATTTATTTATTGATACTCTTTTCAAAGGATTTATAAAGGATAACTTAAATTAATTTATCTCTACTATCAACTATCGATATTCTGTAAATATAAAGAATTTATTTTTTGGATAATAAATTCAATTAAAACCTCCATTATTTACAATGAATTAAATATTATGGCATTATGAGCTTGCTAAAATATCTAAACCTTTTAAATTATATTTAAAAGGATAGTTTATTTGGGAAACAATGTGTATGATTGTTTGCAATATATAGATTTGGTCGATGAATTGTATTATAATAATACTATAATAAAAGTATTAATTTTTACAACAATAAATTTTGTCCTATTTCATCTCAAAATTTAATAGATAACCCCCCAAAAAATTAATCCTACCCCCATTAGAGCAGCTTACCCCCTACCCCTTCAAAAAAATAGGATGCAAACTGTTCCTACTTCTCCCGCTCATGTAGACGCTGGTAAACGTAAATAAAGTAGTGTTATGTAATAATATTTATCATGTGACGGAAAGTTTGTCTAATGCCTAGATGATGCAGGTTTAAAGTTTGGGCATTTATTTTTCAAGCCAAGTCTGATTAACTTACTTTAATCAAAGTAAAACAACTAACCTGACTAATTGCAGAATTTTACTAAACACACTACAGAGCTATAGGCTAAGATAAGTCTACATTATAAAAAAAATGGCTAACCAAAAATAATGTTGTAATTTAAAAAATGAGCATTGTTTAGAAGTTTTATCTGTATTTTAACTTTTTATACAATTCCAATTTTAAAAAAATTAAAGGTATTTATAATTCTGCTTATTTAATTGACATCAAATTGACATATGTTATTCGATAATAGGCCATTTAGGAACCGCGCCATTTAGAATTATTTTGGTTGGAAATAAATGCGAAATCGTGGTAGCATGATTGTTTTTGAAGGTTGTGATTTGTCTGGTAAGTCAACGCAATGCAAGCTATTATATGAAAATCTTATAATTAATAATATTTCATGTGAACAAATTAGGTTTCCAGGTAAATATGTAAATTATTTTTAATTCAAACTTTAATTATTTAAGATAGAACCACCTATATAGGTCAATGCATTGATTCATATTTAAATAATAAAAACGACCTCGAAGATCATGCAATTCATTTGCTATTTTCTGCCAATAGATGGGAGAATATGTAAATAAATTTATTATTTTATAAAATACTAAGATTAGGAAAAGGATTGAAGAATTATTATTAGCTGGCATAACTGTCATAGTTGATAGATATGCCTATTCTGGTGTTGCATTTTCCTCTTCAAAAATGGTAAATTTGTTATTATTTTAATGAACTTCCAAATTTTATAGAATATATCTATAGATTGGTGTAAATCATCCGACACAGGGATGATAAAACCAGATATTATATTTTATATAGATATAAACCCGGAGAATACTCAAAATAGGTTAAATTTTGGAATTGAAAGATATGAAAGCCTTTTATTTCAAAATTCTGTATATAATCAATATTCGAAATTAATTGAACCTGATTGGAATGTATCAAACATTATTGCAATTTTAATAATTGTTATAATTTTAGATTATTGATGGAAATAAAGATATCCAGATTATATCTGATGAAATATTTGATAGAGTTAAATGTTATTTGGCAAATGAAAAACTCAATGATAAGCTGGATTTACTATGGGTGGAATCTAATAATTTTAAATAATATATCCTATATTTATTAGACTTTTATAAATGATTATACTATTTATGAATTACATCACATTATATATGGAAATTTTTACTGATTAAAATGACTTAATATGCACAAATATGAATAATATTGATTTAGATGAACCTAGTTAGTGTAAACTAGAGGTCTGCAAAGCATAGTCTACTTTGATCCTTTTTGCACAAATTCCCCAGCCAGATTATTAAATTTTTTGCCAGGCATTGTTTGATTTTAAAAAATTTTACAAAAAAATAACAAGTTATTTCACTCAGGTCTCTTTACCAATAGGACCCGTTTTATTGTTATCTTTTCTGGTTTTAATATCACCCCAAAATTTTACAATAAATTTTAGTGACTTTCCATACATGTAATCTTTATTGGCTTCTATATTAAGGGATAATTTCTTCATCCAGACTTAAATTTTCTTGAGTATCATAAATTGTTGCAGATTTTGACCAATTATCTAAAAATAAAGTATTTCCCTCAGTTTTATAAATAAGGTGCCCATAGTATCTTTATCTGATATTCGGTATTTTAGTCAGATATCCAATATCTTTAATTCACGTTTGAAGATTTATGGAATTGTATAATTCAGAAATTGCGAAAAATTCTTTGTTTTCTTTTTGTAAAATCCTATTATCTATGTATTCAAATTTATCAAATAATCCAATTTAATAAATAAACATTTTACCAACAATATAAAATAATAAATAAACTAATAGATAACAGTGCCCAAATTTTAATATAGTTTAATTTATTGAAAACGACTTTTAGATATTTTTTTAGATAAAATATGATGAACCTACATCTTCATCTTGATTAATAATGTGTCTAGAGTTGTTTTTAAATGAGAGAATTTTATGAAAGCTATAAATATTAAATAAAATTGAAATTTAGATATAGTTATTTACTAATGTTTGAAATGGAACATACAAATATTTTACCCTATAACTTCAAGAAATGAATACCTCGGGGGCTTATATTTTAAAAAGTACATATGAGTTATTAGTATATTTTTTTGAGTTAAAGTTGCTCGAAAATAATTCATAAAATATTATAACAAAAATATTATATAAGATAAGATTGTTTTTTGTAAAAATGTTTTTAATTGAATTATAAATATATTGCTCTATGTGTTGTTTAAAATAGGTCGGCTTTATAAATAGATCGACTGATTGGATCTTTTCTAAAAATGATCAATATCGGCGTCGACCCGATACAGATATTAATATATGTCGTGCAGCCCTACTTTTCTCTAATACGTTTAAGAAGACTTAAAAAACAGGAGATCCAACGTAGCCATACTTTTCTCTAATTAAACGTTTAAGAAAACTTAAAAAACAGGAGATCCAAAGAAAGATTATTTCAATAGTCAACATATATTCCTCGAAGTCTGCCGCTAGAACTACTTTAAATTTGAATATTTAAAAAAAGATAGGAATTATATTAAATGTTTTTTTTTAAATTAAGGAAATGTATCGTTTTCGATACTTTAGATACCAGAAAATATTGTATCAAATAAATAAAGTATGGGAAAACTTAAGCATGAAGTAAATCCTAAGAAAAGATTTTTTTTAATTTTCACTCATTAAATTTATTTATATATTTTGTTATTTATTTTAAAATTGTAAATTAATAATAATTCTTATTTTAATATAAGCGATAATTATTAATGACATTCTTTTAATTTTTCGTACATATGCTTGGTGTGTAGCAAATTTATTGGTTCGTATTTATATAATATTGGGAAATTGTGATTCGCGTCATTTATGTTGATAAATTTGTCCGTTGAAGCTGGGTGATGGTGTAATAGTTTCAAGCATTTAGCTAAGTGAAATATCCCGCTTAAATTTATAAGTTTTCTTTGGAAATTAGTTATAATCTATATTTTTAAAAATTAGCAAAAAAAAGTAAAATATAATAAATTCAAATAAAATTATTTTAAAAAATTATATTTAAAAAAATAAGGATATTTTAGAAGAAGGAAACGTAAATAAAATTGGAATTAAATCATAGTTGTGAAAACAGATCGAATATTCAAAAAGAAAAGATTAAAAAACGCTTTTTTTGCTAAAAAAAATGATTATAAATATAAAGAAAATGAGCAACGGGTGGGCGTGTCTTTTTGAACCCACTTTACAATGGGCGGGCGAGTTAGAAATGTTTAAACAATGGGTAGTAGGGTTAAATCAAAATAACGAAAAGAGGGCTCGCGGTCTAAAACCCGCCAGAATATTATAAAATTTACCTGATTTTTCTTTAATTTAAGAATACTGTCTTTAGCTGCTTGAACGCTCAATTCCTAGAGAATATAAAATAAAAATATTAAACCAGTAAATTTGCATTAATTAAAAACATGTTGATATTTATGCAAGTATTAAAATTCCCATATGATAAAAAAAAATTTCTAATTCCATTTATTTTAATAATTATGATTATAATAATTGTTAATATCAAAACAAGTTGCTAATACTTTGTTAAAATTTACAAATTTTTGCATGTAACTCATAATTTATACCTTGAAATTTATTACTAGGAATAATAGTATTGGATTTCTATTCTGGTTATATTAGAATCCGAAATATAAAATCTAATTTATTGAAAAGATTGATGCAAATGCAAAATAACACTATTTTAAATATAAAATTAGTAACGATGTAACTGATCTACCAAACTCGTGAGTGAATATGGAGCAATTTTTAATTAATAAGCTCGGACCGAAATTAAGAACATATAAAAAAAATAATTTATTTTAAGGCTGAATTAATAGTGGAATCCGATCCAACACGATTTAAATGTTGATTGATTTTTAAAATCTGTTTATGAGATCAATTTTCCTTTATTAATATTAATTTTATCTTTAATTCTAGCAATATTGATTTCAATAAAGAAAATTAATCCCATATAAACATATTAAGAATCGATCAGCTGTTAAATCGGGTCGGATAGTACCATCATTGAGGTCAAATAAACCTTAAATTTTTTTTTATCCTCTTAGTTATGTATAATAAAAATAAGTAAAATCTTGTTTAATTTGTTACTTCAAAATCAGCGCAAGAAATTCCGGATATTTGGGTTAGTACCTTTTAATATGTAAGGGGGGGGGGAGTTGAAAAAAATATATATAATAATTGAAAATGAAATGTGTTTAACTTTTATGCAATTTATATGCAGTTTTAAAAGTAAATTATAATTTATTAAAAAAATGCTCGAATAATTACATAAAAATAATCATCACTTTTTTTCCAATTTATTTGTGAATTTATAGACGCTGAATATTTCTTATTTTAAAATTGGGCACGTTATTGGCAATGTGATTTTCCGGCAAAGTATTATTTTTTCAACTTTAAATCACTTTTTGAGCGTGTTTTTTTTAAATTTAAAAATCAAATTTTACTGGAAATGTATTCCATGATGTTTGGAATACCTACCCTATGATATTGAGAAAAATTTGCCATGAAATTTTGAACTTAATATAATTTATATTAGGTTTTTTATATAAATTATAAATGACTCACAAAATTCTCTACAATTCATAAGATAGGTATTTTAAACATGCCAAATAACATTTCCGGTAAAATCAAATCGTTAAATTTAAAAAAAAACACTCAAAAAATGATTTAAAATTGAAAAAATAACACATTTCCGAAAATATATTGCAGCTAGTAGACATATTAAATTCCTAACTCGAGAGTTTGTACTAGGGATTTCCAAGTGTATTAAATTGGGTAGAACAATCCTAAATTGAAATGTTTTATCAAAGATCCTATTAGGTGGGCAAATAAATTCTTTATATTCTTATTTTTAAAATCTGGTAACTGTAGATACAATTTACAAATGATATTGGCTTAATTATACATTAAACTAAATGCAAACGATAAATTTCAAAAAAATAAATCGTCTGCCCAAGTACCAGATAAATTTTAATTACGGCTCTGAACCTGCTTATAACATTTTCCTACTTTTTAACGTTTTTAAAGTTATTAAACCTTAAGAAATGTTATAATAAGAAAAGGGGTTACATTAATATTTATATAAATTTTGTTACATCATTAGAAATATTAACATCCAAAATACCGGTACCATCCGTTATTTTAACTTTTAGCGCCCAACACTTTGCCTCGGTGCGTTCTAATTTTGATAACAAAGTATGGATAAACCCCTGGTTGGTATTATTTTATTTAAATATCAAAAATAAATAATCGTATTTCAGAAATTATGGTATATATATATATATAAAACAAAATTAAGGGCTAAGCCCAAACTCAAAAAAAGGTTTACATATTTTAGCATTATCTGTCCAGAAACTAGGGTTGGCAAATTGACCGAAAATATATTTGAACGGTCAAATATTCTAAGAATGTTATTTATTTGATTATATATATCGCATAACATAATTGTGGTCGCGCATCATTTTAATAAATGTACGTTGACCAACGTTTAAAAAAATAAGAGCCATCTTAATAACAGCATATTATTCAATCGTGCTATGATCCAATATCTTCTTAACCAGAAGAAGAAAAAATATATATTTGAAAATAAGTGATAAAAATCTCAATATAACTTCCCACAATGCTACCTACTTATTATATGGCCAATATCAAGACCAAATTTTACGAATAATGAATTCGATTATATGATATAATATAATAGAAGGAACTAGAGTTTGAAAGAAATCTTTAAAAAAAAATTGACCAAAAATCTTTGAACCTTTATTTTGAAGAATAGAGATTTAAGTAAATCTTTTGTAATATTTATGCATAAAAAAAATGTTTAAGATAAAACCAAAAAATATTTATGTATCCACTTCTACAGATCCAAACCTATCTCAGGCCCTTACCTTTTGGGACAGCAACAGCTTGCCCACTTCCTACCGTCCAGTCTCCAGTATTCAAAAACTGGGATGCTCCTTTGATCGCCCGTTCCGTTGAATACCACGTTTTGAACAGGAGCTTCGAGGAAAACCCAAATAACATAATATTAAATGGAGACACTGGCTATGAATGGTTGGAAGCCATCGCCAGTTTTAATCTTGACCTCCTCATGATTGGTGAACAACTAAACATATCCATAGCTCTTCGCGTTGGCTTGCATCGATTGTGGCGAGTCAATCGAATGCCTACCATCCCTTGCAATGTAAGTTCTCCCGGGGATACAACCCCGCCATAAATCCATTAACAACATTCTCCTAGCTGCCCTCAAAAAAGTTAATATCCTATCCAATCTTGAACCAGTGAGCCCTTCAAATGAAAACGTTCTACGCTAGGGTGTGACATCTCGTATCCACTGGACAAACGCTTCCCCACTGCAGATTTCGAGAGAAATCTGCCGGTCAATTTCCTAAGCATTCACTCTTTATAGGGTGATATGTAACTTTTTAAAAGTTCTTTTAAATGTTTTTTTTATAATTTTTATTTCATATAATTTATAATATATTCTTATTTGTTTTTTTTAAAATTTATTTCATTTTGATATTGTTTATGTTGCATTTTATTCCTAAATTGAAACTGCTTTTTAAATAAAATTATTCTTTATTAAGATTTTTTTTAAGAAAATAAATATTTTGGTCAAAAATATATTTTCAAACTCTGAAAGAAACTAAGATTTCTGGCTGATAGAAAAAATTCTAAATGTAAAAGTGGTATCTAAGCAAAATATGTGGAATGCTATAGAATCTATAAATATTAATCAGATGTGCGCATCAAGCTAGTGGAATGGACTTTACTCACTTTGTAAATTAAGGAAAGAGGCAAATAGTAACCCTTTCAAATTCAACTTCTTAAAAATTAAATTAGTCCGTTAAGGTTAATATTCAAGAGCCGAGATTGATTTAAATAAAACTTTGACTATTGAAAAAATAGATATATAACTTGAATTTGACCGTTTATGACAGGTCAAATATAATGCTAAAATTGCAAATTTTGTTTCTTAGTATTTGGAAGTAACTTTAAGTTAAAATATTAAAATCTTATAGCCGGATATTAAAATAATCCCTAATAATGGGAAGGGCATTAACGACTCGAAGATGCTTTAACTAATACAAAAAAACGGCACGTTCTTTAGTGTAAGTACAGTCATATTCATTTTTAATTAAATCTTTATAATGGATGGTAAGTAAAAGGAAGTTACACGTGCACCTTATTATTTTTTAATTTCATGTGATGAATATAATAATGATAGTGTTCCTTCATTTTAATCTATTTACCAAAAAGAGTTTATAATACTTAACTTTAATAGTATAATCTTCAAGTAGCACTGAATTAATTGAATCCCTAGACAACCAGTGTTTAACGTCAAATAAATATCGAATATTGTAGGATATCGCATTTCCTTATATTTTTTATTAAAAAAATTTAAAAATATATATATGTATATCTAGAGGAACATTTTTTTTACCAAATTTTTGTGAATCTTCAATTTTGGCGGATTCTTTTAAAGATGGTTCTGAAAGTCTCTTTAAACTATGAATTTTTTTGGCGGGAAGCACCTCCTTCAAACTATTATGAATTTTTGTGGAGATTGATGGTGGGGATTGCGATATATGGATATCTATCTTTTTTTGGTGCATTTGTTTCATTAGATCATATTCAGTTAAACTTAAAATATCATTAGATTTAAAATTCTCATTGTCAAATACATCATTAGAAGGATTATTTAAAATTTTGTTGTCAACTTTGTTATTAATATTTGAGGTCCTGCTTGCTTTTTTGACCTCATTTTTATTAATAACTTTGATGATATTAAAATTATTTCTGTCATTACATATATCGGTATCGGTATTTTGGCTATGGCAATAAACACAGATATCTTCTTCATCTCCAAAATTGGGTTGAAGAATGTTTGGAAGTTGAAATGATGTGTCATCAAGAAATATTTGGTGATGACTTGAGTCAGATTGAGACTTATTCATATTTATTTCATCAATATCATATTCTTCAGGTGATAAATCTAAAGTTTTATTTTGATTAGAGTTAGGTGGTGCGATTGATTGTCTATTATCATTGACTAGCATTGCATTTTGAAAGGATTTCTTGAATGAATTTGTGTTCTTTAAGATAAAAGTGCCTGTATTCTTTAAATTGTTTAATGATGTGTATTTAACTAATTTATCTTTATTAAAATTTACACTAATTTCAACCTCATCTTTTTTATTTTGGGAAAATGAGATTGCTGGATTTATGGGCAATGAATCTGCATTATTAAGATATGTTTTTTGTATTGGTGTTTTATTAAGTGATATCTTTAATTCTTATTATAATTTGGATATATATTTCAAAGATTATAATTATAAAAATATACTTTTATTTGTTTTGAACAAATTATTTACATCCTCATTATTACTAAAATCCACAAAATTAGAATAAGTTGTTAGAAGATGAGTGCTAAATAGAATTATTAGTATCAAAGCAATTAAACAAAGATTACTTAAAATTAGTTTTATTGGTATTGGTATTAATATCTGAACATATTTGATTAACTATACCACCAATAAATATAAAATTTTTAGGCTTAATTAAAATATTTCCAAATCTTATATCAATTTCACCATGCAATACAGCTTTTGAACCAGGTTCAAAATTGTTATCAATATAAATAGGGTTATATTCAAAGGCCTTGAAAATTTGAAACCCATCAGTTAAACTAAATAAAAAGATTCTAGAAGTTGGAAAATAATTCTATTTTAAACTTTTATATATATATATATATAAGATTTAAAATAAACTTTATTAGCTTCTTTCATTTTTTTAATATCATCTTCCTCCTCTTCACAAAATTGGTTTTCTTTGGCAAAAAAATAGTCATCTTTATGAGTTTGGGAATATCCTGACCTTCCAATATCTTTAGCCCATAAAATCTGAACAATGTGATATCCTTTAAGTTTTCCCTTGGGCATTTTTATAACGTCTTTAGGGAATGGATACATTCTAGCATACTTATCAATATCAAATGATATAGTTATATCATTTATCATTGCTTGTTCAAATATAAATTCAACAAGAGAATCTTCATTATAATTAAGCTACAAAATAAATATCATAAAAAATTTATTCAAACCTGTCTTTCTTGTATAATCTTATTTATCTCATTCAGCCAATTCCTATTAATGAATATATTTTTTGTTTCATATATATTTAAAATTTTCTCAGTAATTAACATATGGATATTCGTCTGCTAGCACACATGCCGCCTTAATTTGTGACCTTATGTTAATGTAGTTACTTCTGAAGACTACTTTCCAGACCACAACTGTTAAGAGTAAAATATGACAAACGTAAAAAAGATTAATATAATTTTTATAACGTTAAAAAGATTAATATAATTTTTATAACCTTAAAAAATTAATATTATTTTACTATATTAAGAAATACTATTATTTTTACTACGTTAAAAAAGTTATTATTATTTTTACTACGTTAAAAAATTAACTATTTTTTTACTACGTTAAAAATAATATATATGAGGGAAGCAAATTTAATATTGCTTATTTTTTTAATAAATAAAGAGAAAATCATGCCATGGTATTGTATAATTTTACCATTAAAAAATAAGCATTGGAAAAGCAAATAAAAAAATGCTTATTTTTTAATAAATAAAAGAGAAAGAAATTTTTCCATATAATATTTTTTTCTTTACTTTTTTAAATAAAAAAATTTTTAGTTTTTAAAATCCTTAATTAATGTTTAATAATTGTAATTGTATTATTGAAAATTTATTAACATTATCATTTAGCTCAAGAAATTTTGATGCTAAAAAATTGATTATTGAAAAAGGAAGACCAAAACCAATTTTACAAAACTTAAAAAAAGAAATCAAAACTTGCATCCATAATTTTTCTATCGATAAATATGAAAAATATGATTGGCTCACTGGATGTGAATTTTTTAATTCTCTATATTGATGGTCATGCCTATTATTTCCAAAGGAAGAATATATTTGGTATGATAAAAGATTTTCGGCTATGAATAATATTTCAAAGGCAGTTAAATGGCATGAAGAATCAACCGCTCATTTGCAGTCGATGATTCAATTTAAAACATTTGGCCAAAATCATATTGAAAATATGATAGAATCGATGCGCAAAATATCAATCGAACAGCATAATTCTAAAGTCAAATCAAATAGAGAAATATTGAAATATTGATCAACTCTATATGTTTTCTTGGAATTCAGGAGCTTGTATTCCGTGGTGATGATGAATCTTCTAATTCAGTAAATAGAGGAAATTATATTGAATTAATTTATTTGCTCGCGGATGAAAATTTACTATTGAAACATGGTTTAGAAATTATTGGACTATCAAGCGATATTCAAAATGATTTGATTAATTCTATTTCATATGTCTTACACCAAAAAAATAAATTCGTCGAATTGTTAGATATTAGTAGATTCCAAATAATCAAATTTTCCCAAAATATTTATTAGATAATTTAAACGACACTTATTCTCAATTTTTCGACTTACACAAGCTGGAAACCGAATTAAAGGTAGTGTTTCGGGATGTTGAATTTAGAAAGAAAAGGAATGTTAATGAAATACTTGAATTTTAATATGCACCGATTTGTTGAAAAGTTTTAAAGAGTTTTTTAAATTACAAATTCATCTTAACTTTGGCTTCAACAACAGCAAGTGCAGGACATAGTTTTTCATCTTTAAAAAGAATCAAATCTTATTGCAGAAACAGGATGAGCCAAAATCGATTATCGAATCTATCTTTGATTTCTATTGAAAAAAAATTATCATCAAGTCTGGTTTGATTATCAGGGCTGAAGCTAGAGGGTTCCAGCGTAGAGGGATATGACCCTTATATATAGAGAAAGCTATACATTAGTTCCAGGGTTGGGCAATATCAGGGGCGTCACTAGCCTTTAAAATCTCAGAGGCTCAAATTTTTTTTTATTTTTTATGCAACAAATAATATAAGTAGAATAATACAAGATATTTTTAAATATTATATTTTTTAAAACAAAATATTTATCCATTTATTACAATAATAAATATTTTCGATTGCGAATATAAAAATAATTTTTGTCTAAAGAATTACAAGTGATAAAAAAGATTAACCTCAATTGATAATGTTTTTTAAAAACCACACACAGGGCGATATAATTCCTACCAACCTATATTGAAAAAAGGTCATTAAACTAATATAACGTTCTGTTACCATTTTAGACAATGTTTTATAAAATTGATTAATATTAAAAAAAAATTTCTAAACAATTATCTTCCATTTTCAATGATATATAAATGACCAGACAGTTGTTGCTCATTTAAATTATGCAATCATATGCTCTCAGCAGCAGAATTACATTGCCTCACAAATAATAGATGCTGGTTAATTTGCAGTCATTGATTGAAGCCTTGAGTTATTTACACGACATGGATGCCATATTAGAAATGAAACATTTTGTAACTATAAAATAAGGAACAGAGAGATATGATGAAAGCAATTAAGATTTTATATATTATTGTTGTACAACCTCTAGTTGGTATATTATGTCTCAAAATTAAAGTAGTTTGTAATGATAACAAAAATACACTCGTATTAAAAATTTAACTCAAAACTGTTTTTCAAAGAAGAAAAAAATAGCTTCCTCACAAATACTTAGTAAAAGATAAGGAAAAAAATATAAAATAAGGATTACATCCAATGAATAATAAGATATTTTATTTTTAATAATATTTTTTATTAAAAATAAATAGATGGTATTAAAGAATTGAATGCAAATTGTTACTATATTTATTATCAAAAGCATTGATTATTAAAGTTTATTAAAATATTAAATATTCTATAACTGTCAAATATGTCTGTAAAAGTGGCATTTTACCTAACATTTTATAACCAATTCTATATAATAAAGGATTATCAACTATACTACTTACTTTTTATAAATAAATTTCTTATCTTGTTTGGAGGTTGGAAATATTTTTAGAAAGAGGCATGGTAATTAAATTTAAAAATGATTAATATAGTTGATTAGTGATTTTGAACTCGGCTAATTACAATATTAAATTTGTTAATTTTCAATTAGTAAATGATTAGATTTATTTAATTAGGTTAGGATTATAAAATAATTGAAATAATAAAAATCAATTAATGTTAATGCAAAATTAATATTTAGACATTATGAGGGTTATTGATATTCTATTTTTAACACAGAACCTGATTACAAGCCGACTTAGTAAATATAATTTATATGTATTAACCTAATCTAATAAATAAAATTGCACTCATTTAATAAAATTTAGATAATCTTATTAATTTTTTAATAATAAAATAAAATTTATATTTATTAATCTATTCTAATAATTAAAATAGCACATTTAATAAAAATTTAGATAGTCTAATTAATTTTTAAATAATAAAATCAAATCTATTATAATATTTAATAGAATTATAAAAAAAATCGTTAAGAGTGCTATCAAAAAAATTATTTTTTGTTCAGGGGGATATTAGGATGCTATTAAGATAAAAATATTTCGCTTCAGGGGTCTATTCAAATTTTTCAGGAAGCTATAGCCCCTGCGCCCCCTCCCCTAGTGACGCTACTTGAGCAGTTATCTCAAAATCATTGCTACTTTTCTTCAGTTTTTCTTAAAAAATTTTTTTTATAGAAACATTTTTAGGAAGAGGCATAAATACATGTATAAATAAATGATTATATTTATTTAAATAGGGTTTTAAAATAATTTAAATAATAACAATTAAACTTCAACTGTTAATGCCAAATTGATATTGGAACATTATGCATGGTATTGATATTCCATTTTTAAGATCGAATTTGATTGCAAGCTGACATGGTGAAAATATAATTTATATGTATTAATCTAATCTAATAATTAAAATTGTATTCATTTAATTAAAATTTAGATAGTCTTATTAATTTTTAAATAATAAAATTAAATTTATATATTACTTAATAGAATTATAAAAGAAATCGTTCAGGGGGCAATCAAAAAAAATTATTTTTAGTTCAAGGGGATATTAAAGAGCCATTAAAAAATAATTTTTTTTTGCTTCAGGGGGCTATTCAAATTTTTCAGGGGGCTCGAGCCCCTGCGCCTCCCACCCAAGTTACGCCACTGGGGAATATCGCTGATATTTGTGTCGATTCTAAAATTTGGTAAAATCTTGTATCTTGAATCTAATATACGGATTATTTATCTGTATCATAATCAACTTTGTATTCAAAAAGGTACAAATACTTTAAAAAATAGTTAATTTATAATATTAACATTTAAAATGATATTTTTTTAAATCGCTTTATTCATTACAATAACACAGTAATAGGCTAAAACTGCAGAGGTTATCAAATCAAAACCATTTAAGGAAAACTATTTTTACCATGCTCTACGCGATGAAATAACATGTTAGACAGCTTTTCTAGTTTATTAAAATTTAAAAGCGAACTCCCATAATTATGTGAAAAATTAGAATTTCCAAAACTAAGTTATTGAAAAGCAATATTTAGAAGAATAAAGCTATATAATATAAAAATCGTTAATGATTGGCAAAATATTAAGTGAAATCAATTGCTATTATATAAAATCCCTTATGTCATTAAAAACCCACAAATTTATTTCAAACGGTCTGCTTGGCTATTGCAGTAAAAAATTCTTTAAATAGAAGATTTAAAAATATATATTAATTTGATAATAAGTGTTGTTAATTTGCTTGGTCGTAAAATTTACGACCCAATTTTGTGCTCAGGCCTGTTCTGAGCACGAACCCTGAGCTCAGACCCGGGGTTCTGACCCATGGTTTAGACACAGACCTGAGATCTAGATCCGGGGTTCAGACCCGGCACAAAAACCATTTTATGAGTAAAGGATTCATAAATAGAATTTATTTTCTTGCTAAACATAAAAAATGTTTTATGATTATTTGGATTTGCCATGTCTGCTATATAATTATAATGGCAATATATGATTTATTATTTAGAATAAGTTGTTAAAATTTGGAAAATAAAATATATAAAAATTTTATTTTAAATTAAAAGTGGGAATTTCAGAAAAACTATTGAATGGGACAAACAAAACAACTTATAATAAATCACAATATAATAAATTGTGATAATTTATTTTGCGGGAGAATTATGAAAATCGAGTTTGTAAAAAATGGCTTAGTTACCCCCCACCCCCTCCTCATTAATTCTTAAATACTTTATAAATATAATAACAA